TTATAATTAATAGTTACAATATAAAGACAAAATTATAAATACAAGCAACCATTTCATATAACTACAATTAAAATCTACTATTATAAAACATAATATTCTTATTTAAAAAAAATAGAAAATGAAACTTAAAAATACTGAAGTCGTCGTAAAGAATAATGAAAAGGTATGTTTGTGCTCTCTGATTTGATTCAGTCTTATTCATTCTTAAAGATTCTTCCATTTGTTCTTTGGTGGCTTATCATGCCCTAGAGTGCTTTGCTTGCTGGACACGGTGTCCAGTAAATATTGATATTTCTCTTGCTGATTACTTGTTAATTCGGAACTATTGGATTTCAAGATGCAAGGAAAGAGTTCTTTAATTCATTGCTTCGTTAACAAGAATTCTGCTCAACACAGCATACAGTACTGTTTTTATACACAGCCTTAGCAATACAGAAAACCTCCTAACTGACTAACAACCTAGCTTCCAGACTAACTTCTAGAACCTGGACATGCATGAGCTGCATGCATATGCATGGCATTACACAAGCACACTCTTTATTCATGTGATCCTGCATCATTCTCTCAACATTCTCCCTACTTTCTCAACCTTCTTACTGAAAAGATGAACACTTGAATGGAAAGTGCGACGCCTCCTTCCGTTCGACTTGAATCGAAAGTGCCGATGCTTCATTCCGTTCGACTTGAATCGAAAGTGCTGATGCTTCCTTTCGTTCACTTGAATCGAAAGTGCTGATGCTTCCTTTCGTTCTTCTTATTCACCTTCATTTCTTTCTTCTTCATCCTTTTATTCAAGGTTCCTTGACATATTTTTTTTCCCATGGACACTTGGCTGTGAAGCTTTCAAGTCCCACACTTTGAGATAGAAGCAACAAATCATGATGATGCACAATCCAAAAAGCCAGCAATGCAACAGCGTGCAACACATCCACAAGAAACTAGTACGAACAAAATTTCTTTCCAATGACAACAAGAAATTGAACTCCCGACAAACTCTAAATGTAAACAAACTACTCAAAAAAAAAAAACTCTTAACAATTGACCATACCATTAGCTTTCAAGATGTGATCCTACTCCATGTTTAACGTGTAAAGGTGTAACGTCTTAATCTGATTAGCTAAAATCTTGCAGCACATTTCTGTTCCAAGGTGAATCCCATAGACTTTGACACCTTCATCATTGTCTTTGATAGGCTCTAAGGCAGCAGTAATCTCATCATAAAATAATTGAGTAACAATCAGATCAGCTCCTGCATCAACATTTCTCTTCAAGTACGCAAGATCGTTCTGATAAGCTTCTGGTGTCGCTACACCGTTATCTCCTATAGCATAAGGATGAGCCTCTGGATAACCGGCAACCGTTATGCTAGAGTAGTCAACCATGGCAGAGATACGTTGATCCAGAATCTGCATCGCGTTCCAAAGCACATTCACGTGTCTCAACGCTTGTACACCCGCGTACAAAGTCGATAAAATTGCAATCGCCAACAAATACATGTATTCTTTGTAATTGTCAAAATTTTGCCAGTCACCGTGCTTGTTGCTAGCGGTGATTATAAAAGAGAGCAAAGAGAGGAAGAAAGCGAATCCTCTGGCGATCAAGGACATTTTCTTCAACAATTCGTCCCTCTTCCAATGCCTGGTAATGGAGGAGATGTCGTACCCAACTCCCGGAGTGGGAGTCTCCACTGTCGTCTTATTCTCCGCCTTCTGAGCATCCTCTTTATCCTTCTTCTTGCTCTTCTCCTTGACAACCCTCACGATCGCCGCCACCTCCTTATGGACGTTCTCTTTCACGAGGAAATCACTCTCTTCTGCAGTGAAATCGAAAACCTTCTCCAAGAACCCAACAAGATTCGCTAGATCCAAGCAGGCAGTAAACGATGCCGGTTTAGCAGCCGTTGCCGCTGCCGAAGGTGCCAATGGAATTTTCTCCTCCTCTTCCATGCAACGGAAGAAAAAAATAATGTCAGGACCGTTTGGCGAATGATACCATATTGGATTTCAAGATGCAAGGAAAGAGTTCTTTAATTCATTGTTTCGTTAACAAGAATTCTGCTCAACACAGCATACAATATTGTTTTTACACAGCCTTAGCAATATAGAAAACCTCCTAACTGACTAACAAACTCATAACAACCTAACTTCCAGACTAACTTCTAGAACCTGGACATGCATGAGTTGCATGCATATGCATGGCATTACACAAGCACACTCTTTATTAATGTGATCATGCATCATTCTCTCAACAGGAACTACTTGCAGGGCATATCGAGGAAAAGAAGAAGATGTAGAGGATGAAGTGGTAGAGATTAGGTCCGCACACTGAGTCAATGAAATTTGCTCAAAGAGGTGTAGTGATGCAGATATTCACTGATAGTATCACAAGCTTATGTCATGTAGGTTTAACAATAATTTTATCTTTCCTAATTATTGCATTTTATTTGGACTTAGCGCTTCGATCTTAGACTCTAAACTTCAACAACAACAAAAAAAACTCTCCATAATTATTTTCGGTCGACTACCAATCTTTATTATCTGAGCGTTCTATCGCTCGTACTACTGATCGAAGATCGGTACATGGTTTTAAAAAGGTATAAGCTAATCGAATAGCTTTCAGTTGTGAATCGTTATTAACAATGGGTTAATCCTATAATTAATATGCTTTAGACTTTTCGCTATGAAAAGGACTAAAGAATGTTGGCAAAAACATACATATAAGGCCAAAGGCAGAGACATTATGTCCCCTCATTTCCCAAGAAAACATATATATATATATATATATATATATATATATATATATATATATATATATATATATATATATATAAGCCGAACTCATATCATTAACTTACGTAGTTTCTTTGAAAATTAAGGATGTGTTATGATGAGATCAGTGGGGTTTTGTAGCACAAGCAGAGCCAAGAGTTTGATAGTTGACATAACGGCTTGGAGCTGAGGAATGGCGAAGGCCTTTTGGCATGCAGCCCTTTACTTGGTTGTCATGGTTAACCTTGCGCTTGTGATTCAGTAGTACTAGTGGATTGATCTTCACATAATCAATGGAAGCAGGCCTCATTGTGCTGGGAACACTTGATGGGATATAACGACCGCCCATAGCGACATCCCAAGAAGAAGAAAACATGAAGAAGAAGAAGACGTATAAGAAAATGATGCAGCATTTTGTGGCAGACATTGTGGATGGCTGGATGCAACTGTTTCTTCGGTTCCTTTTGCGTGTCTTGTCGTAGAGAGGATTTGTAAAGAGGGAGGTGTTATTAAATAGGCTTGTGAGTAGCTGAAAATAAACCATAGGGTAACTAATGACACAAGTCATGGCATTAGGTTCCAAATTGATCCCATGCTGAGTTGGTGAGGTGGGTTGGCTACCTCTTTTTACTGTGCTAGGTATTGGGATGCCCGTGAGATTCTTTTATTGCTTCATATCAAATGCCCTTAATCTAGTCCTACAGAGTTTCTTCAAGTAGTTAAATATTTCAATCTGGACGGTTAACATGAAATCCAATTACTAGTATCCTCATGTTCAAGCTTCAACTAATAATAATTAATAAACTTACATTTTAATCCTAAAAAATGTATTTCTAGTCACCAATAAAAGAAATAAAATAGATGTAGAACGGGATAATAAACGTTTTTTTATTTTAGATTTTTTTATTCATTTTTAAATTATTGTATATAATTTAGATCTTTTATAATATCCCCATCCCTGAATACTATTCTACATTTTTTCATTTTTTTCATTTTTTTCATTTTAGTTTCTTTAACAGTTCAAGTTTTTTTTTAAAAAACAATTTAATTAAATTTAAATGGAATTAGAGAGATATTAGATATGGATGAGTGTATAATAAATTTTTGATAATTCTAATATAAGTTGTTCCCATAAAAATTACAATTCAAAAGAAAAAAAAGGTAACAATAAATAATATTCATAAACCGAACAATAATTTTGTTGGTTATACTTGGGAGCGGTAACAGAGAGAAGCTGAAGCTTCTTTAAATTCTGGTGTTGATTGTTGCCTGCCTCTTCATCAATGCCAATAATACCAATCGTTGGGTAATATTATTGTCATTTAACAGTCCACCCAGAAAGAAAAAAAAACATATGCATCTTCTACTGGGATAAATAAGGAAATCAATTACGAAACAACTAGAAGTGAATCTTCATATAAACTTGGTGGTTTTCTTGTTGATGGCTGCATTTGATGAGTTGATGTAATGTAGTCAGTCTTTAAGCTCAAATCTCCATTAATGAAAGATAGCAAATTTCAAGCATTACGTAAAAGCTTGATATATCTGGGTTACTTTTAGTCATCTAAAGCTGAAATCTTACAACTCTTGCTCTGCTTTAATGGATACACTAAACATATATAGGACACTTGTCCAATATATTTGATAGGCGAAAATCCAAGCTAACCTACACAAAGGCTGTTAATCAAAACCGTGAAGATAACTCACCTATATCGCCTTTTGTTTTCATGACAAACAATTATTTTCGTGTTCATCGGGTATAATTAATATGGGGCTGGTTGGCAGTGTTGTTACCAAAACAAGTAACCGGTGGAGTTACTTATTTAGCAGTAGGTGAGAGAAGGTGCAGTGTTAAATGAACGTAGAGAAGGGGTCCTGATGTCAAAATTTAAAGGATTTAATGTTTAGTGGCGTTGACATTTATTAAGTTCGATGCGTTTACTTTGCGGGAGTAATTTCTGAACCAGTCCTGCAGTTTTCCGGGGGTGCAAATTGGAGACTAGATTCACGTTTTGTCTATGCATCGTAACGCTTCTTGCCCATGTATATTGAATGGCTGTCTACAGTTTGTGCCCCTTCAAATAAGTGCATGCACATTAAGATTTGAAGTTTGAACATTAAAGCTATATTCAGTGACAACTTAGTATTGTAATTGTTAGGTATGTCGATTTGGATGGCACTTTACGAAATTATATTGTTCATCGAGGGCGAACATGGAATTTTACACGATAGCGTAGATAAGAGACTTGAGACTCGAAAAAAAAAAACAGTTGTTCTGTTCACTTAGGACTTAGCTGAAGTAGAAGACCCTTTCCAAATGGAGCTCTCATTTCACTCTTTAACGTTCGCATCCTACTGCAAGAGTAAGTCTCAACAAACTATAGGCTCTCATTTATTTATATGCCTAAGAATGAGTAATGGACCTTCCCCCCCCCCCCTTATTATGAACTTAACCAGTCAAGCTTTATGGAACTACTTGACAGTGATTAGTTGTTGTAGATGCACTTAAATTTTGAAGCAATTAGAACCCCTCTAATGAAAAATTGACAATTACCCGTTAAAGAGTTCCACAGGGTTGTTGCTTTGTCTGAATATATGAATTTCTATGGGTCAGCTGCGGGTAGGTTTCTGACTTTCTGGTGTTGTTTAAAAAAAAAAAACTCCATTGATCGTTCATTGTATTCTTTATGAAATAAGGTTTGTGATTTAATGGTGCAATTACTTGAGCTACTGATGGTTGCTTGAATTTGGTTTCTAGTTGTGGCTGGTGAAAGGAACACAAATAAGGTAGGTTGGGTGTGGAGACACTAGGGTTAGTGTTTGTTGGAGATTATTGTTTCAAGGTGAATTCTTTCATTGGATGGGTGGAGTGAATTCTTTGGTTTGAATCTTCTGTTTTACACTTTTATATCTAGAGCTTAGATGCTTTTGAGTAAGATGGAAACAAGTTTCATTTCCGCTGCGAATTGGACTCTGGTTTCCTGACTATTCTGTTCTTTAAACTGGATTTGATTAGAAAGCTTGCGTGATATTTAGCTAGCAGATTTATTGTTGAAGACAATCTCTATACAGTCTGCATTATTTTCATTTCATGTTATCCCACAGAAGGCAGTTTACCCGTGTTGTTGGAGAGTTATGTGGTTGATGATTTTGATGGATGAATTGTGGCAAATTGTCAATTTGCTTGAGCTAATTTGATTGATAAACTCTGGATGATATAAAGTAAAAAAGTTATGGTCACGTAAGCTTTATCCCTGAACAGTTTATGTAGATAATGGTACAGTATTTCCTTCTGATGCTGTGCAGCATTTGGAGATTCAAGGTCAAAAGTCCAGAGTGCACTAGATTATAGAGCCTGCTCCTTGATTAATGTAAAACCAAAAGAACATAGACAAAAATTATCCACACGATCTCCGGCGTTGTCAGAAACGGCTGCTTCAGTAGCTATTGCTGCAGCAGTTGTGGGCGGTGCAGTAACATTTCTTGCTAAGAGAACCAAATGTTGACGAAAACGGGTAAAGAAAACGAAAGAACACGAGAATTTTACGAGGTTCGGCAATGTGCTTACGTCCTCGGTGCCTAGGCGGCGCTAGAAGTTTTATTCAATGATTTTTTAGGTCTAGGTTACATCTCTATTTATAATAGAAAACCCTGGTACATAATTACAAAATCAACCCTGTACCGTACCGCGGGGGCTGCGCCCCCACACCCCCAACCCACATAATTCGTAACCCCACAACGAGACTTTTTATGAGCCATACATAACAAATCTCCACCTTGGCGAATATCCTGCCCCTTGGAAACTTCAATGTGGGTTGGGTTACCTTGCTTCTTTAACAACTCGAAACATTCAACAAGTCCAAGCAATGCTTGAACTTGTCTGTCGTAACTGGCTTGGTGAACATATCAGCGGCATTCTCATCAGTATGTACCTTCTGAAACAAAACCTCTCCAGATGCAACCAACTCTCTGATCTTGTGGAACCTTACATCAATATGTTTAGTTCTAGCACGATACACCTGATTCTTAGCCAAGTGAATAGCACTTTGATTATCACAAAGCAACTGAACTCCACCTTGTTGAACACCCAACTCCTTCACTAAACCAGTAAGCCATAAAGTTTCTTTTGCAGCTTCAGCCGCTGCCATGTATTCAGCTTCAGTTGTAAATAGTGCCACGACAGATTGAACAGTAGACTTCCAGCAAATAGGCCCTCCACCAAGAGTAAACACATACCCTGTCGTAGATCTTCTATTATCCAAGTCACCTGCATAATCTGAATCCACATATCCTACAACCAAAGGATTATCCCGCTGACTCCCAAAAACAATTCCATGTCCCACAGTACCCTTTAAGTACCGAAAGATCCACTTGACTGCTTCCCAATGTTGCTTACCAGGTTTAGACATGTACTTACAAACTTGACTAACAGCATGAGCTAAATCAGGACGAGTACATACCATCGCATACATCAAGCAGCCAACAGCATTAGAATATGGAACCTTTGCCATATCTTCAGCTTCCTTATCTGTCTTGGGGCACTGTTCTGATGAGAGCTTAAAGTGATTCGCCAATGGAGTGCTAACTGGTTTTGCGCTGCTCATCGCAAACCTTTCTAGCATTTTCTCAACATAACCCCGTTGAGATAGCCGCAGTTTCCTTGAGTCTCTGTCCCTGCAAATTTCCATTCCAAGAATTTTCTTTGCAGCACCTAAATCTTTCATATCAAATTCCTGACTCAATAAAGTTTTCAAACCGATAACATCATCCATGTTCTTCGCAGCAATCAACATATCATCAACATACAGTAATAGAAAAATAAAAGAACCATCATCAAGGCTCTTAACATAGACACAACAATCATACTCACATCGGTTGTAGCCAATCTTGATCATATAGGAGTCAAACCGTTTATACCACTGTCTCGGAGACTGTTTCAACCCGTACAAAGATTTCTTCAATCTGCAAACTAAATGCTCGTTTCCAGGTTGAGTGAAACCTTCAGGTTGCCGCATGTAGATCTGCTCCTCTAAATCACCATGCAAAAAAGCAGTTTTAACATCCATCTGCTCTAAATGCAAATCCCAACTAGCCACCAATGCAAGTACTGCTCGGATTGAAGTGTGCCTGACCACAGGAGAAAAGATTTCATCATAATCAACTCCTTTCTGCTGTGAAAAACCCTTCGCTACCAAACGAGCCTTGAACTTCTCCCCCTCTTTTTCTGTTACTACTGGTTTCTTCTTATACACCCATTTGCAACCAATCGGCTTCTTACCCTCAGGAAGGGGAACTAACTCCCATGTGCGATTGTGATTCAAAGACTCCATCTCCTCAACCATGGCTGCCATCCACTTGTCGTTTTCCTGACTAGTAACAGCATCATGAAAAGTAACCGGATCATCACTGCTAACAATAAGTGCAAAAGATACCAAGTCTTCAAAACCCAATCTGTTCGGAGGCTTTATATTCGTCCGTCTCACCCTGTCTCTGGCGAGACTATAATCCTGCAAATCATCCGTAGTGGAACCACCAGAAGTCGGTTGAGAAGTTTCTGGTTTCTCAACTGGAAACTGCTCGAAATCTACCACTGTCGTGTCTTGCTTCTGCTGCAACATAGACTGTTCATCAAAAACGACATCTCTACTAATCACAACTTTCTTCGCAACTGGATCCCAGAACTTGAATCCTTTGACACCTTTCTTGTAACCCAGAAAAATGCACTCCTTCGATTTTGCATCAAGTTTGGATCTCTCATCAGCAGGTACATGCACATAAGCAGGACAACCAAAAATCCGTAAGTTATCAAAACTAACATCATGACCAGTCCATACCTCTTCTGCAACTTTCCCAGCCAGCGATGCCCTTGGCGATCTGTTGATAAGGTAACACGCCATGTTAACAGCCTCAGCCCAGAAGTGTTTGGGAAGCCCCGCATTCAACCGCAAACATCTGGCTCTTTCATTCAACGACCTGTTCATTCGTTCCGCAACACCATTCTGTTGTGGTGTCTTGCGCACTGTAAAATGTCTCTGAATACCATGCTCCTTACAGAATTGTAGGAACTGTGAATCTGTGTACTCCGTACCATTATCAGACCGCAAACACTTGATTTTTCGTCCTGTTTGGTTTTCTACCTCAGCTTTCCACAGCTTGAACTTCTCAAAAACTTCAGATTTCTGTTTCAAAAAATACACCCAAACTTTCCGTGAAAAATCATCAATAAAAGTAACATAGTACCTAGATCCACCCAAAGACAATGTCGTGGAAGGCCCCCATACATCAGAATGCACATAATCAAGAATCCCTTGAGTTGTGTGCTTCGCAGTCTTGAAACGGACTTTAGTCTGTTTACCAAGAACACAATACTTGCAAAAATCGAGCTTACAGCTTTTGACACCATGCAACAAGTTTCTCTTGTGTAATTCTGCCATACCACGTTCACTAAGATGAGCAAGGCGCATATGCCACAATTTTGTCGTATCATCACAGGACTCAACAGAGTGAACTCCACCTGCAACGGTACTCCCTAACAATCTGTAGATATTCCCTGCAGTCATCTTGCCTTTCATCACAGTCAATGCTCCTTTAACAATCCGAATGGTTTCCCTATCCTCGTCAGCCTTAGGGATAAAACCATTCTTGTGCAAAGTGCCCAAGGAAATCAAATTCTTCTTCAAGTCTGGGATATGTCGAACACCACTCAACGTCCGAACGGAGCCATCGTGCATCTTAATTCTGACATCACCAATACCAACAATATTGCAACATCGATCATCACCCAAATAAACCGAACCAGAATTAACCGGCCTGTATGTCGAAAACCATTCCCTATTTGGCGTGATGTGATAAGAACATCCAGAATCAAGAATCCAAGCATCCGTCAATTGTGTCGTTGAAATAGAAAGCATATCACCCTCACTGCAATCAGAAGTATCATCCTCGACCACGTTCACAGACTTGGATGAGCCATCACGCTTCTCATCGGTCTGCTTTTTCAACTTCGGACAGTCTCGCTTCATATGTCCCGCCTCCTTGCACTTGTAACAGTGAATCGTCTTCTTATCCCTGGATTTGGATCTGGAATTCCGCTTCCCGGACCCTGTCTTCTCTGGCTTCCGTCCACGATCTCGATTACCCTTGACATATAAGCTATCGGCTTGAGAGCTTTCCCCTGCATTCTGCTTCCGCTGGTTGTGAGCCAACAAGGCTGCAGTAATCTCCTCAACGTTGATAGTCTCTTTCCCATATGTAAGAGTAGTCACCATGTGTTCGTAAGAGGAAGGCAACGAACACAACAGAATCATCGCTCTGTCTTCATCTTCAATTTTCACATCAAGCCGAGCCAGATCAGAAACGATTTGATTGAAGACATTCACGTGTTGCGCCAAATCGTGATCGTCCTGCATCTTCAGCCCATACAGCCGCTGCTTCAGATACAGTTTTGTCGTTAAGGATTTGGACATAAACTGACTTTCCAACTTCCTCCAAATTTCGTCTGGAGACGATAGATGCATGACGTGATACATGACCTCGTCCGCCAAGCATAATCGTATGGTTCCTGCCGCTCGCTGCTGCAATTCTTCCCAATCTTCCTCATCCATCGACGCCGGCTTTGTAGGTCGCAAAGCCTTCAAGATCCCTTGCTGCGCCAATAGATCCTTCACCCTCGTTTGCCATAATCCGAAGTTACCCTGACCATCGAATTTCGCGACTTCGAATTTTGCTCCTGACATCTGATACCAATTGTTGACGAAAACGGGTAAAGAAAACGAAAGAACACGAGAATTTTACGAGGTTCGGCAATGTGCTTACGTCCTCGGTGCCTAGGCGGCGCTAGAAGTTTTATTCAATGATTTTTTAGGTCTAGGTTACATCTCTATTTATAATAGAAAACCCTGGTACATAATTACAAAATCAACCCTGTACCGTACCGCGGGGGCTGCGCCCCCACACCCCCAACCCACATAATTCGTAACCCCACAACGAGACTTTTTATGAGCCATACATAACACCAAAGCCTCTGATGCAACTGAGGTTAGTACTTCAGGTTTCCTCAAATTTTAGAAACTTTGGTTTCAAAAACATCGAAACAAGTAAAATTTTCCTTTTGCTTCTTCACCTTTGTTTTTTTCCTTTTAAATTGAAGGTTCCTTCGAGACCTTGTGAAGATTGTGAGGGTTCCGGGATCTGTTCAGAGTGTAAAGGTGAGGGATTTGTGTTGAAAAAAATGTCAGAAGAAAGTGCTGAAAGGGCGAGACTGACTGCAAAGAATATGGCCACTCGATACACAGCAGGGTATATCTATATATTTCCTCATTATTTCTCCCCCTGTACTGTATGTATTCATATTGGTTGAGATGTTATGTTTGAGCATTTGAGCTTTAATCTTCATTTCAGACTTCCCAAGAAATGGAGCTACTGTACAAAATGTTCCTCCACTCGATCATGTACTACCTGTGGTGGCAGTGGAAAGTTAAGCTAGCCCACTAGTTTTGCTCGAACAGCAATGTTGTTTTTGGACCAAAATGTTGCTGCCCCATAGCCATTGAAGATGAGAATCAAATTTCAGCAAAGGTTACCTTTAAGAAGATGTATATAACTCTCTTTCAGAGATCATATAAATAAATAACTTAATTTCATCCATGTACGTAAGCATCAGTTGGCAATCTTTCCAAATCGAGTGGTTCCGGGAGTCGGAGCTAGTAGGAAATAGTCCTAGATCTCAGGAAAAAAGAAAATCAAGATTCCCTTTGATTACTGTAAATAATGCCACCTCTGGATTGTTCATAGCTCAGTTGAACAGCGAACAGCGATATAACCTCCGGCGTCCGCCACAAACGACATGCAAAAGTCGGTGGGAGCCCATTAACATGATAAAAAATGCGCAACCATAACGAGGTCGCAAAAAGCACCCGTTACCAGCCTTGAAAATATACTTACGGAAACAGAAGCATTCCCAGCATCTTGTTTCTTTGAATTGTGGTTGTCACGGATAATGGGAACAAGGGGTGCTGCAGCAAAGGCGGAGACCAAGCAAGTGAAGAAGGAGATCCAGGATAAGTGAAAAATTCTCATGTGCAGCATTTATTATTTATTTGTAATAAAATAATCACTCCAGCCCGTTTTCCCCCATTAAATTGATGACATTGCAAATTTGCAATATTAATAAAATTATTAATTTTTAATTTTACTCTTAAATTATTGTTAAAATATCAAATAAGTCATTAAACAATGATTTTATATCTAGTTTACTCAAAAGTTTTCAAATTTCTAATATTTTTCCCAAATAGCCACCAGCATCGTATTTCTTTCCACCTCTCCCACCTCATCAGCTCTCAAACCTAAACGTAGTCCTCTTGACTTAGTCAGTATCATAATGTAGGTCATGGATAGCAATTATCAATAAGTTCATTCGAAAGTATTAGACCAATAAAGCTCGCATGGATACGTGTAATTTGAGAAGCACCAACGGCAAAGAGTGTTTTACCTGAGACCAGTATGAGATCCATATGCTGCAGATTTCATGAGTTACGCGTGGATCGGACAAGGCGTCAACCCAGGGTAGATGAATCGTTCTTTCCTGGTTGCAGCAAGACAAAGCAAAGAAGAAGAAAAGAAATTGAGATCAAAAGGCGTGTACATCCATTATTTTAATTTATCAATAGCAGAGAACTTAATTATACCGGTCTGGTGCCCAAGAGATATATATCTCTCCAGGCTGTTTGAAGTTGTTCTCTTTCTCAATGATGCATTGTGACCATAACTTAGGTGGTGTTTGTTTTTACTGTATAAGGTCTTCAAAGCTCTAATATCTGCGCTGCGCAGACCACGCGCAGACATTGAGCTTCGCAGACCGTTTGTTTTTTAGAAGACAGAAGCTCTTCTAACGTCTGCGCGTAGTCTGCGCGGCGCAGACGTGGTTTTATGTCTGCAGACGTCTTCTAACCTCTTCAAATAAGTTTTATATTTAATTTTATATTATATTTGATTTTAATTTTAATATTACATTTTAAATAAATAAAATATTAATTTTTAATATTATATTATATATATTAATTTTAATATTATTTTTTTAAATATATTAAATATTAATTTTTAATATTATATTATAGATATTTAATTTTATATCATATAAATTATTGTATATATTATTAATATTTTATATTTATTTTAATTATTTTGATTTAATTTTAAATATAATATTTTTTTGGATTTATTATTTTTAAATTATATTTAAACTTTTTATACAAAATGTAAGTATTTAAACCACATTGCTTAATAAAAAATGATTTCATTGTTTGATAATTAATATTTTAAAATATAAAAAATTATAAATTATGTTTTTAAAATTTTAAAATATAATCACAATTAAATAAAAAAATAATCATAAAATAATTTGATAAATTAAAAAATATTTTCTAAAAATATCATATAATTATAAAAATAAATTATGAATATATATTTAAAAAAATTAAAAGTATTACATAATTGCATATTTTAAAAATCATATAATTTAATAATCATTTATAAATTTTATTCTATAAAACTTATAAAACTAATAATACATGTGATTATGTGAGACTTATAATAGAATTAATAAGGTAGTGTTTTTTTTTCTAAAAAATTATTATTGTAGTTGTATGAATTATTTAAATTTCAGTATTGTAAAACTAAAATTATTTAAATCTCAGTATTGCAAAACTCTTTTAAGTTTAAAAAATCAGTTTATTTATATTTCAGTTTATTTTAGCAGTCTGCATACATTAAAAAACAAACAGTCTTCTTCTTGCAGACTACAGACTTTTGGTCCACCTCTTCTGCTGCAGATGTCTACAGATGTAGTCCGCAAATTGCAGATATTTTACCTCTGCAAAAACAAACACCACCTTAGTAAGCACATTACTCTCACAAACAAAAGATATAGCAATTTGTAGATAATAACCGAAACTGTATAGTAACAATTAAAAAGACAAAGTAAAGCTTGAAAAGTTGATGAGAAAGGAGCAAATATCGTCTCCTACCCTCATCCTCATCTGAGAAACCCGACGCACGTGCTATTTGCTTACAGGAAGGTTGGATTGATTAATATTTCCGAAGCTGCTTATTCATTTTTTTTATATTTAAACTTTTCAGTCAAAATCAAGGCAATGGTTGCGTTGAACTGGATTTTGCAAAAACATACATTACAGACCAACACACTTGAACAAACATGCATGGCATTACTAAACTTGGTTGAAATTAAAAACATCATTTTGAAAATAAGATGCAAGAAAGTACAGGAACTGAACTTCTCGCGCATTTCAGATGGGTGTCGGAGAGGGTAAGTCGAGGCGACTGCATTTGGGTTTCATAGCTGATTAGGTGAGAGAGACCGGAAGGGGAGGAATACAGTGGACTAGTGGTGGGTATTTGAAAAAAAAGTAGAAATTAGAAATTTTTTTGGTAAATTAAATATAAAATTATTATTTAAGAATTTATTAATATTAACATTTCTGTTAACGTTGCTATAACATCAATTTAATGGGATAATGGTGAAGGGACCATTTTGTTAGAAATCAACATTAGTTACTAATTTGTAACTTTTGAAACTTCAGTGAAAAAATAAAAACTTACTTAAACTTTAATGATCATTTGTGTAGTTCATCCAAACTAGAATTAGGCATATGTTCGAAAACTATAATTAAATTTGATGATGTAAGTGAATGTTAACCACGAGAATCAAGCTTAAGGTTATCTCGAGGGGTCATAAAGCATGAACTATTAGTAATACACCATTAGGCGGAGATACTATTGACTTATTTTACTTTCTCAAAAAAAAATTGACTTATTATATATTGCTAAAATATGTGGAAACAATAGTTAGAAATGCTATATAAAGTGCCCACCGCACACTAGTCCATTGTTTAAAATATTTCTTAATATTCATCATTTTTAATGATAAAATTGTTATATATATAAATATAGTGCAAACTAAGATTATGTATAGAAACATTAGTAGATTAGGGGATGTAAATAGTAAGTTTCGTATAGAGTGGGAGATTTCGTGTTGTGATTAATGGGAGTAGATATGACGTGGAAGTAGAGGTGAAAAATGGGTCATTCGGATCGGGTTTGGGTTAGGTTATTTCGGGCCTAGATTATATTCGGTTTAATTTTGTTCGGATCGGATTGGATCTAGTTCGGGTGCACGGTAAATCAGATCGGGTAGGGTATCGATCAGGTCAATTTTTGGGTCGAGTGATTATCGGATCGATTATTTTTCTGTTTGAATCAAAATCAAATTAGCTGATTTTTGGGTCGGGTCAATATTAGGTGAGTCAATATCGGATCGGTTGATTTTCTGTTTAGGTCAACATTTAGATCAAGTCAATTCGGGTTGAATTGATTATGAGTCTAATCATATATATATATATATATATATAAAATTATTGATATATTATTATAAAAAAATATTTCTTCTTATTTGTTAATCTCATCATTTAGGCCTAATTTCAATTCTCAATCGTTCAATATTTTGAATTAAACCAATATTTAAAAATGATAAATCGATAATTTGACACAAATACGATCCTATAATGCAAGTTAAAATTTGTTATCAAAATTTTATATTGATCTTATATGAAAAGTTTATAACGAGAACTATTTGATAAATAAATAAATTTTTCATTAAAAATTTTATTTCCAATTATAAATTTAAAATTTTATTAAAAAAATAATACATAACTTTATTTGTTAAGGTTTAATCATAAAATAAGTAAATTTTATATTATTTTTGTTATATAATATTATTTCCTTTGTTTTAGTTAATTTCTTTTATTTTTATTATAAAACTAATATTTTTATTACAATTAAGATAAATAAATTTTATTTATTATTGTTTTCAATCTTACACTTAGATTCTCACTTTTATATTCCTCTTATTTAATAACATAAGCAAACTTTCTATTATTTTTATTATAAATATAATATTTTTAATAAATGATCAATTTTATTTAAATTAATATATTATTCGGTTCGGATTAATTTCTATTTGAGTTGCTTTCGGATCGGGTTAAAATTCGGATCAAGTTCCTTTCGGTTCGGGTTAATTTTGGTTTTGGTTCGAGTTAATTTCCGTTTCGTTAAATTTTGGGTTAGGTATGGGTCGGATATAGGATCAAATTTGATTATCATATTCGAGTTAATATCGAGAATTTGATCGAGTAAATCGGTTCGAATAATCGGGTTCGGGTCAAGTTTTTCAGTTCTACGTGGAAGCCTTTACAAACTTGAGTGTTTCCGTGGTAGAGTTATGATTTCTAATGGATTAATGAAAACAAACATCCACTATATAAATTCATCAATTTCTTATTTGATCCTAAGCAGTATTTTTAGTTTGATTTGAAAAATATATAAAAAAAATAAAATATATATATATATAATAATATTAACATTTAAGTAATGTATTTGAATGAAATTAGCTCCCATTGAGTAATGACCACCTAACAAAGAGAAGGGAAGATATGACATCATAAAAAAACCATTCATAGTGACCAATCTCACTATCTCAGATCAGAAAGAAGGGAAGGAGAGGAGAGGAAAGGAAAATAGGTTGAATGTTGGATCAAGTGCTGTGAACCCAACATGAAGGTATACTCTCTCTATTTATGTTTTAGGTATTAATAGGCCCAAACTACTCCTTGAAGATGCCAAGGAATTTTCATTTTCAGCTTTTAGCCTTAACCCAAC